AACCAAACTTCTGTAATCGAACTCCGCACTGAATATTTGTGCAATTAAGATCACATTGTCACGTCATTTCACTTCGACTTAAATCACTTCGTTATTTCTCTTGTCTGCACTGCTCTGCACTAAGCACCTCACTTCGCAATATAACACTTGTAGACTATATAACCTGCTATTCTTAGTTACGTCCCTCATTTACTTAGAAATGCCCTAAATTAATTTCCGAAACTGTTGAATGCTTCCTGGAAAGGGTTCGAAGTTTTATGCAGGCAATCTATTCCATTCCATCTATCGATTTGTGAAAAAAAATCCTGACGTCTATTCTCCGTGATCTTAAATTTATTTTGGGCCTGTGATTCCCTCTACTGATGTATGTAGGAATTCATAGCCACCGATTAACTTATTTCCAAACCGGATGACCGCTATAAGCATTACACAAAGCGCAGAGTCTTTCTACTAATCATATGTTATGGAGTGAATCCCACCCAGCTATTTTCTTGCCCCCGAAAGTAAATTTCACTGCCCTTCGCTGAATCCTTTCTAAACTTTTACATTGCATAATTTTGTGAGGATCCCAACAAATTGTTTTATATTCCATTATTGGTCGAAGAAGCGATAAATAATCAATTTTACCTTATTCTTTTTTAAGATGCACATTACAAACTGAAGAGATCTCCAAGTTTTCTCTATAACAAAATTTACGTGACTTTTCGAGCATAATTTACTATCGAAATTGATTCCTAGGTACTTGCACGAGGAAACATTCGGAATAATGTCGTTATTTAAGCGGTAATTTATTTCTCTGTAATTATGACCCCTGCCAAAAGTGATAATTTGTTTTTATGGCTGTATTTGGTCACTCCATTATTTTCCGCCCAGTATTTAATGCATCAAGATCCCGTTGCAACCTTTCTTCATCTTCTGTCGAATTCATTCTACGAACATATAATGCGAACGTCTGCAAATAGCCTAACATTTGAGATTAAGTGCTCTGGCAGATCATTGACGAACACGAGAAATAGAAGAGGTCCAGTGGCACCCTGCGGTATTCCCGACGTAACGCTTGCCCCGGAAGATAATCCAATTCGGACTTTCTGTTTTCTGTCTCGCCGAAGCTCGTTAATCCACGTCACCACTCTGGGATAGTGATGCGACATCGAAGACAACCGAAGTTGCGAAACATCGATATTCATTATGAAAACATCAATATTAATAATACATCGACCAAAATCCATCGATGGTTTTAAACTTCGATGTCCTAAAGCTGGCTTAGTAACCTCTAACACTGAATTTGAACATCTGCAACGAAAATTAATTTGACATCAGAAAATTACAAAACACCTCTCCACGCTCAAGGAGAGATGAAGGAAATACGAGTGTATCAGTATCATCTCGGGTTCAAACTGTCCTGGTAAGATCACGTACTAAGCAGTTTATTTCGTATTTTAACTTTTACAACATTGTGATAATGAGGATTTTCATCCACAAATGTCGAAAATATACAACATCGAGCCCAAAACATCGTTGTTAAAAAACATCGACTTCGATACATCGATGTTTGAAACATAGATATTTTTATAGAAACATCGATGTTTTGAAAACATTGGCATCGATTTGCATTCCTACTGACGGTAAGCAATGACCGCCTGTTTTTTAAAATAGTTTTATTGTTTTGTTGAAATTACATTTTTCAGTTCACAAGTAAAATTTTGCAAATGTTTCATGACTTAATCTTATTAACTTAATCTAGTTTAAAATTGCTGGAAACAAAAATAACCTTAGAAAAATTACGTATTCGTTATTTGATTTTTGATTGATTGAATAGTGATTTTGTGCGCGTCAACTGCTAACATCATTAGTTTCGTAAGGGTAAAGCATTTTTTTGTTCCTCCGGAGGTGGCAGTTAATTTGCCCCGCTAGATGGGGAGGTATGACGCCGACTTTTCGTCGACTAGTCAGCTAGATATCGGGGTTTCCCCAACCAGGTACCTCCCAACAGCAAGGCACGCCTAGCCGGGACATGCTGCAAGCTACCGACTGGTTTCCCGGCATGTGTGGTTGTGTAGTGCATGTTAGTGTATTAAATTGAATTGAATTGAATTTGCCTTATTTTACGTGACGAGACTCAGGCCATCAGGCCCGCTCTTCCGTCTGACCACGC